CATGGATTGCGAATTCAAGAATTTCAGGCCATATATATAGGGATGCATCCATATTTAGTAAATACAATCCATGTCATGAAAACTTCAAAGTTTGAATTACTGATGGGTTGCTTTCAAAAGTAATCAGTATAGGTTATGTTATTATTTTCAAAGATATAACACTTGATTCTGTTTTGTTTATCCCAAATCTAAGTTACAATCTACTATTTATAAGCAAACTTACAAAAGACTTTAAGTGTGTTACTAAATTTTTTTAAAATATGTGTGAATTTTAGGATTTGGATTTGGAGAAGATGACTGATAATACTAAGATGTGTGCAGAACTCAATATCTTAAGAGCTAATGATTCTGAAAGACAATATCAAAAAACCTCTTGTATGACTTTATCCTCCTATAATAATATAGATAGTACTATCATATTATGGCACTATTAGTTAGGTTATCCAATTTTTTTATACCTCAAAAGATTGTTTCCCTCATTATTCAATCAAAATCCTAACAACTTTCAGTGTGAAGTCTGTCAACTATCCAAACATACTCTTATCATTTATCCTAATCAGTCATACAAACCATCTCATCATTTTTCAATGATATATAATGACATTTGAGGTCCCTTCAGAGTAAATAACATTATTGGCTCCAAATGGTTTGTCATATTTATTGATGATCATACCAAGGTCACTTGGGTATTCGTTATGAAGAAAAAATTAGAAGTGGGCTAGCTATTCCAAAATTTCAACAATATGATCCAAACTCAATTCAAAACCAAAATTCAAGTGTTGAGAACCGATAATGAGAGAGAATACTACAATTCAATTCTTGGATTATAATGAAGCATGGTATAATTCATCAAAACTCATATGTCAACACTCCTTAACAGAATGACATTATTGAAAGAAAAAATCAACATTTGTTGGAAGTTGCAAAATCCCTCATGATGACTACTCATTTACGTAAGTATTTTTGGGGTGAGGATGTTCTTACTACTACTACATATCTTATAAACAAAATGCCTTCTCAAGTTTCAAAATTTCAAAGCCCTTGTCAATCCTTGCTCAGTTCCTATCCTCACATTCGTATCATCTTGTCTATTCTTATTAAATTGTTTAGATGCACAGTATTTGCTTTTACCAACCAACAAAACCAAAGTAAATTAAATCCCAAATTCATCAAATGCATATTTCTCAGATACTCTCTGAATAAAAATGATATAAGTGTTACTCACTAGTAATAAAGAAATTTTAATATTCCATGACTATTACCGTTTTTGAAAATCAATCTTATTTTTCCAAAACTACCATTCAAAGGAGAATCCAATCACATGAAAATATCAGCTTTGGGAAGATCTTATTATCAAACCACCAAACAATTCTCAAACTCCCTTTCACGTTCAAAACATCCAACCAAATCGTTCAAGCCCAAAGTTCACACAAGGAAAAACAAACAAAGAATTGTTTGTCTATTCAAGCAAACAAAAAACTCATAAGGATATAGGAAAATGTACACCTTTAAAGCAAAACCAAGAATCTGAACCAATTTCAAAAATACTTGAAACCAACATAGGTAACACTCTTACTGAATCTAATTTAATTGAATATTTTGATGATCTTGATCAGCTGATTGTTCTAAAGAAAGGTGTGAGATCATGTACTTAACATCCAATCTATAATAAGGTTTCTTATGAAGGTTTATCACCCAGTTATTGAGCTTTTGTTATCACATTAAATAATATGCAGATTCTCAATAATATTCATGAAGCACTCATGCAACCAAAATGCAATATGGTTGTTTTGAAAGAAATTAAGGCTTTAAAAAAGAACAAAACATGAGAGATTTCAAAACTACCTAAAAGGAAAATTCCAATTTGGTGCAAATGAATTTTTCCTATCGAACACAATACAAATGAAAGTATTAACAAATTCAAAGCTCGCCTTGTTGCATAAGGATTTACTCAATCTTATGGTGTTAACTATGAAGAGACATTTGCTATTGTTACTAAACTTAATTCAATCCAAGTGTTATTATCATTGGCAACAAATTTAGTTGGTCACTCCTCCAATTAGATATCAAAAATATATTTCTTAATGGCGACCTAGAAGAAAAAGTTTACATTGAAATCCCTCTAGGATTAATTATAAAATCAAAACAATTCTGACAAGGTATGTAAGCTTCAAAAGTCTTTATATGGTCTTAAACAATCCTCACGTGCATGTTTGATAGACTAATAAAAGTCATAAAGAAGTATAGTTTTTAAAATACCATACTGATCACACCATATTTGTTAAACATTCACCTGAAGGAAAAGTATCCATTTTTATTATCTACGTCGATGACATTATTATTACTAGAGACTGTGAAAGAAATTAGCAACCTAAAGAACCTCCTAGCCAAAGAATTTAAAAGCAAAAATTTGAGACACATCAAATATTTTCTTGGCATAAAGGTAGCTTGTTCAAGGAATGGCATCTCTATTTCATAACATAAGTATGTTCTAGACTTACTAAAGGAAACTGGAATGCTTGGATGGAAATCTACTAACACCCCTATGGATATAATGAATAAGGTAGGAATGGAAGAAGAAAGTCCACCAACAGATAAAGGCAGATATTAAAAACTTGTTAAACTTATCTACCTCTCTTATACAAGATCAAATATCAGTTTTTCAGTTAGCATGGTAAATAGATTTATAAATAACCCATCTGAGGAACACTTGAGGGCTATGTATCGAATATAGTACTTGAAGAAGAGTCATGGCAAATGGTTATTTTTTAAGAAGACATCATGCCGAAATGTTGAAATTTACATTGATGCTAATTGGGCTGGATCCGTTATTGACTGAAGATCAACTACTGGTTATTGTACCTATGTGTAGGAAAATTTAGTTACTTGGTGAAGTAAGAAACAATCTGTGGTGGCTAGAAATAGTGCGATAGCTGAGTTTAGAGCTATGTCTCATGGCATATGTGAGGGAATTTGGCTGAAAAGGTTGCTAATGGAGTTAAAGGTCTTTGCAGAAGAATCCATGAAAGATATTTTATGACAAAAAAGTCGCTATAAGTATAGCAAAGAATCCTATTCATCATGATAGGACTAAACATGTGGAGATTGATCATTACTTCATCAAAGAGAAGATAGAGGAAGTGATTTTTAGATTAATTTATACTCTTACATGCCTCCAAACTGTAAACATACTCACTAAGGCTTTCTCTCGAAACAACTTCGAGAATCTAAAGTTCAAGCTAGGCATGATTGACACCTAATACCCAGCTTGAGGAGGAGTATAAAAATTTAATCTTCATTATTACTTGATTAGTTGACTTATCTATTTTAGTTAAGACTTTTATTTTTAAAATAAAGAGTTATTTGTGTAATTATACCAAATCTATTAAACATTTTTTTATTTTGTATTGAGAGTAAATTACTTTTTTGATTAACTATTTTAATGCATGAAAATCTTGAAATTTTAAGGTTGAAAATATTCAGGGGCAAAATCCAATAGGGTTTCTTCTTGTAACTTTGCTCAAAATGGTTTAGTTGCTGCCTTATATCCATTAAAATTCTCACTCCTTTGTGGATTTTGTTTAGGGCTCTATATAAACTGATTAATGCTAAAGTTTAAGTTTCTGGATGTTGAAAAGTTTGGAATTGAAAGAAATAAAATGGTTAGAGTGTGGCCTTTTTATCTCCTCTTGAGCTTTAGTTGATTTTTCTGACCTAGATTATGGATTTTCTCAACTTAATTCTTAGGTGTTTATTTTTCAATTAATGTTTTTGAATGATGATTTGTACTCATACGTGTTACAGAAACAATTTATTCTCCATTGGCCATAAGTGAAAAACGAAGTCAACAAGAACCTGCGGAGAATAGTGCTGTAAAATCTGGAATGCCAGCAGGTGGGCAGAATGAGCCTTATCGTAATGGAATTGTAAAATCTCCGATCCCAGAAACTGTAGAAATAGGTCGGACTGCCTCTACATTCTCTTCTGCTTTGAATACTGATATGCCTTTAAAGCACGAATTGCTTATTGGAAAGGAGACACAAAAATGTAGAGATTAAGGACTTGAATTAGCGAGAAAAATAGTTCTAAGCATCAGGATTCCTTCTCATGTTAAGGCCCATTTTTCCCCGCTATTGACACTTGGATCTGATATTGGGTCCCATTGTTAGAACTTTTTTTTTTTTTTTTTGTTTAGAGAAGGGGGATTCGAACTTGCTCTTTGAGTAAAGGATGGTGCACCAAGCATTGAGCCAAACGTTCGATTGTTAGTTGAGGAATTAACCATAATAGCTAAGACTCTTGGGCCCTTCACCCTTACCCTCTTACAACATTAGGAACTAGTAAAATAATCCAAAATTTTTGGCAGTTGTGCTAGTATATTAATGAAGTTTCAGTCAACCCTAATTTACCTGTATGTCTCTTAATAATATCAGTTTTATCAGATGCATAATGCGATCCAGAATCGATTATTCCAGTTTTTACCTTTTTATCTATTAATTCGATTATCCCTGTCTAAATTTTTAGCTTTCTGCAAGTGGTCTGAATGATATTACTTTTTGCAAAAGCTGGTCTCCCATAAAAATGATTGCATACTGGAATATAGATTGTAGTCGTATCCATCTCATATATAAAATGCTTTAGCAAAAGATACATTGTTCAACTTTCTATAACAATATATATGCAATGGAGTAGGTAACTTGCTGAAGTCTGGGAGGAGGATCTTCCTAGAAACTTCCTAAACTAGGGTTTTCCATCCTGAAATTATTACAGGTAGAGTTTCCTTTCACTTTCTTCCCCAAATTTTATCACCTTTTGAATCAAACAAAATCTTTCTTTCATTTTATGGTTATAACTGTCAATGATGTACCCAAAAAACTTAGTTTAGGGCCTTGTTTTGGGTATGGCATTTTGGGCCTCCCATTTTTATCTCAGTAATCAAGTGGAGGCATGAAAATAATGTACATGGACAAAAAAGGTCGCTTCCTTCCCGCGTGCCCCGTCGTCCACAATCATCACTCCTTTTCGTACTTGCTTTTCTCACTAATTTAATTCCCAGCCAGAATTTCATTCCATCATTGACTAATGGATGTTTTTATATAAAAATGGAAAATAATAATTAAAAATGGTTGCCTCTCAGCTCCCGCACCCTACTATAACTCGATTTCAATCAACGACGAGACACGTGTGCTGTATCCCACACGTGCGACTCCACCTTCCAAAACTCATTCCCCATAAATGCCAGATCCAAATTGTAAGCAGCAGCAGAGTGAGTGAAACTAAAATGGAAGTGAACGGAACAGTTGGTGATGCAGAGAAACTTCGATCTCAGTTCCTTCACCTACTTCGTACCAGACGAAGTGCTCAAGGTAAAACACAAAAGAAAAAAAAAAACCACAAATCTCTCAAAAATATTTCAAATTTGTTTCTCTGTTTATATTAATTACATTAATGTGAATTTCCCTTTTTTCTTAGTTCCTTTGACTGTGGAACCTGCAAAACCTGTGGTTACCCCTTTCTATCAAGAAGTTCCTCCCCCGACTTCCAGTGAGGTAAAATTCTCCTTCATGATTATTTTTATTGTGATCAATAACCTGTTCAAAAACAAAATTTAACTGCGTTTGTTTGTAAATTTACCAGGAAATGGAGTCTTGTCCAAAGGCCAGCATTGGAAACCTTAAGGAACTGGTTAAAGAGGAAAACCTTTATCTCCATACCGAGGTAATTAATTGGAGCACAACTAAAAAGCATTAATACAAGCTAATTTAGTTATATATATGTGTGTCTTTTTCAAGAATTAAAACTTAATTGTATTTTGGTCATTGATAGGCAGGAGAGCAAGGAAAATTGCCCTTGTTAATTTTAAGCATGAAAGAAGGCAATCTAGAAAAGAGACCTGCTGTTGTTTTTCTTCATAGTACACATAAGTGCAAAGAGTGGTTACGCCCATTGCTTGAGGTAAGCTGAATTAAACCTTTGAATTTGTCAGGGTCTTCTTTTATTAGCTATAATTTGCTAAACTGAGTACTGTCTTCTTGTTTCAGGCTTATGCTTCACGGGGATATGTTGCCATTGGTGTCGATTCCCGCTACCATGGTGAACGTGCTAACAGTCTAACCACTTATAAAGATGTATGTAAATTTTGTCCAACTTTTAATTTTCTTTAATTTGGGTTATTTTGTTTGACTATGTGATTTAAGAAAAATCAATCAAAATATGAAGTAGTTGACTTGTATTAGTGTACTGGGTTCCAATGGAAAGTTCTAAAACTTTATTCTTATTTGTACATTTTTGTTATTATATTTTGAGATAAATCACTTGGAAAGTGATCCTAATTTCATTAGGTTATCTAAGTGCAGGCTCTGGTATCATCGTGGAAAAATGGGGATACAATGCCATTCATATTTGATACGGTAAGCCCTCATTTTTTGTTGGATTTATCTATATTTCTGACCCGGTTTGTTTCAATAGGAATTTCCTGATTGGTAATCAATCAAAAAATGAAATAAAATCAAAAGGAAACTTCACAAATAGTAAGGAGTTCTGCTGTTTAGTTTCCATTGTAGTCATGGCTAATAAAAATGTTACTTTAAGCTTTCAATGGGATTTAGTTCTTAAACTGTTGCAGTGTTATTTTTGAGCATTTCAATTCATTTAAGGTTTCCCATCTTCCAGGTTTGGGACTTGATAAAACTTGCAGATTTTTTAACCCTGAGAGAGGATATAGATCCTACTAGGATTGGAATTACTGGTGAATCACTTGGAGGTTTGTTGACTGAGATTTGAAGGGACTGAAATATTAAATTTTTGCTCACTATTGCATGTTGAATTTATGTGAATATCATGAAAGGCAGGAATGCATGCATGGTTTGCTGCTTTTGCTGACACCCGCTATGCAGTGGCAGCCCCAATAATTGGCGTTCAGGTAATTAAAAATTTATAATTCCTATAAGCATTAATATATTTTTTAAGTTATTAACAAAATATCATGTTATATATTTGTAGGGATTTCGATGGGCAATAGACAATGACAAGTGGGGGGCTCGAGTTAACAGTATAAAGGCTGTATTTGAAGGTAATTTGTGCCAGGATTCTTAAAAAAAAGGAGCTAAAGATTTAGGAGAGTTATCTTTATCCAGTTTGAGACTCTGCATGAGTTATCTTAAATATTTATATATGTACTTAAAAGCCATTTTGGATTTGAAATTAACTAACTAATGTAGTACTGGACTTTCTGAAGTTAAAGGCAGTATAGCGCAAAAAGAAATGGCTAATAACTCATACAACTTTAGTAATTTTGTATAAATGATTACATTTAATAGATTTATACTGATTCATTAGATTAGGAGTGAGACATTATGTCACTTAATTGAAGCTGGTTAATTACTCTGGCTTCATTTCGGTGGGAAACTGTTCTGGCTTTTGTTTCTCTGATTTTCTTAAATAATTTTGTTACAGAAGCAAGGATTGATTTAGGCAAGAATGAAATTGATAAAGAAGTGGTGGAGAAGGTCAGTTATGTTTCTCCCTGCACTTTTGCAGACTTAATCCATGTAACTTGCTACTATTTACCAATCATCACTTTAAAAATGTGGAGCATTAACGTTACTTCATGACTCTTTTTGTGCTCTTTGTTTGACTTATTTTGTATATTTACAGTTGTCATGAACATCATTAACATCCCTTTTTTAAATGGATATTCTAAAAATTTTAGCTACCTGATAAGTGGTTTTTTTTATGTAAAATAGTTTTGAAAATTGTAGAAATTCATGAATCAAAATCCTTAAAAGTATGAGAACCACCATTCAGTTTGGGACATCTAGTAAAGTAGGTGAAATTATTTCATTGTTTATTTACTTTCTGAACAGGAGGTAAGAAAACTCACACACAAGAGATGCTTATGCACACACAACTGAGATTCATTCACAAGTGCATTTAAAACATCATGATATTAGATAATTGTGCATAAGTCTAATGTACATCCAAAACCACATTTTAAAGTGCCTAATCTTTGGGAGAGTTGAAGTTAAATGGAGTGGCACATAAATGGGACAGAGGATATACAAGTCATTGACCTATTATCTTGTTGATAGAGCGAATTCTGCTAGGAGACTAGGCATTCTGACTTATTCCCATGCATTTTCATCTTTACAAGCCTAATTATAGCTGCTTCTTTTATGCTGTCACCCGATGTTGATCATATTTTATGGTTCCACTTTTCTGACTAGGTTTGGGATAGGATTGCTCCTGGTCTAGCCTCCCAGTTTGATGCACCTAACACAGTTCCGGCCATTGTGCCACGCCCTTTGCTGATTGCAAATGGTATAACACTTCTTTTTATTTCATGTATTTGAATTGCTTTTGAAGTTCATCTAATTGTGCTGTTAGTTCCTGATGTTTACATATATGGTTAACTCTTTATTATTGGCTGACAACATTTAGGAGCTAAAGATGACCGTTGCCCCATCGATGGCCTTGAAATTCCCAAGACAAGGGCATGCAAGGCTTATGAAGAGGTCCATTGTTCAGATAATTTTAAGGTATGGAACTGCTGCTGAATAGTTTCTGAAATCACCAAAATCTGTTTCTATGTTTACCAATAAGACCTGAAAGCCAGGATGTCTACTCAAGCAGCCAATTGATGCATGGAAACCCCTAAAGATGTAGAGTAGAAAACTACTGGAACATCTTTTATGGGGATCTCTGGAAACTATAATATGTTCTCCCTCTTTGACATACAGAAGTGTGCTAGTGCATGAAGATATGTCGTGTGTGCATAAGCATAGGTGTGATGGATGAATGTGCATGTTTTCCATTTAACCATGTTTGGCATCTTGGAATGCATGCTTTATTATTTACCGTAAGGTTTTGGCTCCACTGGATTTTTGGTGCTTTTATCTCTTATCTTTTGTGTCCTAACCTTGCAGCTCATTGCACAACCTGGAATATGGCACCGAATGACGCCATTAATGGTGAAAGAAACAAGTGATTGGTTTGATCGGTTCCTTAAGTAATAATTTCATCCAGCTACTGTTTCTATGTTTGTTGTTTGTAGATGGAAATGTATTTTGTAACCAGTACGCTGCAATTTGAATGATGTGATGAACTTTGAGATAAAAATCCCTTAATGTAGTTGTAATTCGTAACAATAAGAAAGTGATTCCATTCAGTTTGCTGTTAGGAAAGCATATGTATTTTGTAACTGGTAGGCTGCAACTGAATTTGAATGATGCAATCAGCCTGTGATCAAGACCTTTTTTTAGTCCGTACAATCTTATCAATAAAATATAGTTATCTCCTTTGTACAAGGTTGGTGAAATCGCTGTGTCTTCCTTCTGCAACCACACTTTTTGGCCAATCACAAGGTTTTTGATAAATGAATGTTTATTTCAAAAATGATCCATACTTTTTGGGCATCACCATTATTATTCCTCATGAACAGCATTATTTAATACTATTTAAGCATTTGTAGAACATTTGTAAGTCCCGCCGATGCGATAAGAAATGCCTGCAGATTAATTTCTTGACAGATTAGAGCACTTGTAATTCCTCCTGCGCTGGCCTGCTGGGAGGCATGACCTCAGGGCTTATGCCTCTACAGGTGCACCCTGTAGGGAGTTAAATAGAAGGTAAACAGACTTTTATCACAGATAATCTACTGGTCTTTCCATAAAAGAAATGTCTCTAGCACTGCCCTAAAGATGCTAATAGTTCTTACCAATGGAATGCCTTTCATGGCCCTCTCTTCCAAGAATTTTGAGGGTCTGAGGAAGTTGCCATACAAAGCCGACCGCTTGCTGAGACAAGTGTATATGTAGTTGGCTCCTATTGTGTCAGCCCAGAAAATTATTACCCCCATTGAAAAGGTAAAGATAAAATGGAGGTAAGTATAAAAGCAAGAAAAGAAGCAATATTTATGGAGCATAGATCCCTCTCTGTCTCGTACTCACAGGCGTGAAGGGAAATTCATCCCAAGAACAGATGCAACATCAAGCTCTGATGCTTTAGCAATCACTCCCTCTTCCATGACGCGGCATGCCTCATTCACCACAGGAAAGAGAATCATCTCCCCAATTTCTTGGTCGCTTATGGAAATTGGCTGATGATCACATTAATTACCCTTTTATGATCACAAAAGCAACTTGATAGATACATTTATATGCCCCTGCAAGGGGGATAACTAAATAACACTATAAAGAGAATGTGACTTAACGTTTTCTTTGTCAATGAGATTTGTAATTCTCCTGGATTCCTCGACTATTGGTAGCACGCTATAATCAGGCTTCGGCTTGCTTCCCTTCTCGAAAGTGTAATATCCTTTTCCATTGCTTTTGTCTATATATAGTGTTCAAAGCATCCCCCATGAATATACAAAAACAATGTCAGCAAACCAAAGAGTATTTGATGGCATAGTTCTTGGAGGAATTTCTAGAAGTAAATCGCATGCTCCTATTCTAATTTAAATGTGAAAAAAAAAAAAAAAAAGTAGTTTTATCTCTTTACCCTGTCGACCATGTTGGAGCATGAGTTGATGTAAAGGAGATTGAAACGTTCTGTCTGGGAAGGCTGCAGCATTTTGGCAAATGTAATAGCCAAGTCATATCCAGTTACATCGTGATAAATCCATAATATTGCTTGCAATCAGGATCAATAAACTTAACTGGAAAGGCCCCATTGACAAGCCAAATGCGCAAATCACACTGTCAATTCTGAAAATGTCGACACCCAAGTCTGCCTACAGATATGGCCCTTGAAAATAAGGGGAGAAGGTCCGATTTACAGCAAAACCGGTGCAGTTGCCTACTATCAATGGAACTTTCTTAATGGCTTACCCAATTGTCATAAAATCAAGCAAAACCTGTGTAGAAGTTTTCTCTGTTCGGACAATCTCCAAGAGTGGATTATATGAGCCGGACTATTGATCAAAAGAGACAGAATGTAAGGAACGCAAGAAGGCATAAAAAACTACATGCAATACTTGTTTAATGTCATAAGATCAAATCCAACAAATAGAATGATGTCAATTAACCTGAAAAAATGAGCTCCAACAATGCGATCTTGAGAGCTGGTCCTTTCTCCAATTTCATTAAGATCGATGCCTGATGTGCCTGATGCTAAGATGCACTGAGGAAGACAAGCCTTCTCGATTTCTTTAAAAATTGATTGTGAGTGATAAGTCTTCAATAACATCCTGAGACAGAGTGAGCCTCAGAAAAACTATATCCAGAAATTAAATATTTTCAGAAGCCTCAGGAGACTAACCTCTATTACCAAATCCACATCTTTGAATTCTTGAGTAATCTGATACTCCTCTTAGAAATGAAAGAGCTTTCTTCACCCCATGCTCATCCAATTTTCCTTTCATAACTAAGCCTTGGAGACTAGCTGCAGGATGTGGTAATGAAACACAGCAAATACTTTTGGCTTCAGAGAATGCTCTTTCATGACCCCAGCAGTCAAATTCTCTCAAAATTAAAACATTAAAAAATCTATATCTATGAAGAAAAAGAGAGACCTTCAATCTTTTTAATCCTTTTCTGAAGGTATTCAGAATTTAGTTCCTTAAGGACGACATGGATATTGCTCAGAATGAGAGCAGTGGTGATTATAGAACCCATTAGACCTGCACCAACTACACCAAATTTCTTTATTGGCCGTGGTTTAGGACCAGCATCAGTCACACCAGGGACCTGCATGCATTTACATTGCACAATTTACACGAGATTATATTATCCATTTCATGATAATTAAATTTACAATTCGAATTGTGAGTTTTTCCACCAAAATTGAGTTGAATGGGATTGTCAGCTCAGGCCGAGAATCTCAGCTTGCTTCTGTTTAAACTTGTGGGACTTAAATCTTTAAGCCTAAGCTTAGACTGGCGTCTGGACCAATGGGTGGACTTGAGTTAATTCTTTGAACAAAAATCTACTTCTTATTACCTTTTTTCTGAAACATAGTTTCATGATCATGAGTCACTCTTATATTCTATTATTATTTCCTTTAATATAAAAGTAAGTAATTTCCTATTGAGTACAGAGGAAATATTAAAGAAAAGAAAACCTTGTCTACCTGGGATGTTGCACGTTGGGCAAGGAAGACATGGACAAGAGCTTTTTCAGCTCAAGAGAGTGTTAGGCAAAAAAAACCTCTATTCAATCAAGTCAACGAAAATATAATTAAATAATTAGTTAATAATATAAAAAATAATAATTTAATATAATTTCAATCGATTTACATTCACAAATAAAAAATAAAATACATTAATTGTAAAAAATTTCAAACATAAAAATTAAATTAAATACTCATAATTAATATTTATAGAGTCTCTCAATTTTTTTAATCTTACGAAATATTTTTAATTCAAACAAATACATAATTATGTATATCATTTCAATATAAATAAATATATATACATATATACTCATTTTTTATTACTATGTAGACCCTCTCAATTTTTTTTAATTCACTCTCAAACATTTAAACATACACATCAATAAAATTTAAATATCTAATAATCTTATGAAGTGTTTATCTCATAAAATTTTACAACTCTATTATATCTTTTTTCATATCTAATCTTAAAAAAACTTCACTTATGTATACTCATATAAATTTATTTATTAAAAATTAAGTTTTTTTAAAAAAATTTTTTGTAAATTAAACTTACTTATTAAAAAAATATTTCTCTTATAATTCTTTTTTTTCGAATTTTTTTATTTATTAAATAATAATTTATTAATTTAAATAAATTTATTACGAAATTTGGACTATTATTCTCGTAACAAAGAACCAATTCTTTAAATACTTTCTCTTCCTACATGCACCAGTCACCATCCAACCATGCTTTTACTCTTGTTTTTAAGATACTTTTTAATCATTTATTTATTTTTTTAAGATAATTCATTAGCAATTGATGCATACCTTTAGAAAGGTAGAATGTCCTCCAGAAGCAATGCCCTCTTCTGTGACATCAAGACAGGCCACTTTGTGGGGCATAGTTGGAGCAGTCTCTTTCATCTCTTGTCGAATAGATTCCAATCTCTTTTTTATTTCTTGGATAGAACCGAGTTTATCAGTTCTCGAAAGAGAGAAAAGGCCAGGGTCTACGGCTCTCTGCAATATCTAGAGCTAAGTTACCTGATACTTCAACAACTCCTCCGAATATGCTATTGCACCAATAAGACCAAGAGTTTTCCCTTCATCTGACATTATTGGCTTCGAAGTCTGCAAAAGTAATAATTTAGTTGGTGTCATGTAGACCAGAAAATTAATTATTTGAGGACCAAACCCGGGCGGAGATTTACTATCAACATTTCCACAGCCTTTGAAACTCCTACGAACCTTAGAAGACGTTGAATGCCTTTCAAAAACAACCATTGTATCTCATTTCTGGTATTTGTCATATATATATATATATATATATATATATATATGTTAGAAAAAATTAATAAGGGAAAAAAATAATGAAAAAAGTTTTAACTTTAAGATATGAAAAATATTTTTTTAAAAGTAATTATGTATTTAAAATATAACAAAGCTTTAACTCTTCAATAAGCAATAATAAAAATAATTATACTAAAAATTTATTTATAATGAATAACAGATATAAATTTTTATTCAGATTGTTATAATATTTTACATAATCATAATTTTTATGAATAATAATCTATTTATATTCAAATAATTATGATCATTTATCATATGAAAATTATTTTTATTCAAACATAATTATTTAAAATATAAATAAAATTAATACAAAAATTAATTTTATTCATCAATAATTAAATCTTTCTATCCAATATGAGATGTATCGCATTTTAAACTATTAACAATCCACACTAGTTTAGAATATTAGTGCTTAATTTTTACATTTCACACAAATAAATATTATGAATATAAGAAGGTATCTCTTAATTTAAACCTTCAATTAGCATATATCTTTTAGAATTCTAACGAAATTGATGGTGTCCGCAGATTAAACTTCAACTCTTAGTGTTATAATTGAAGATATAACACACATAATACTTATTTATTCTTCTATCAAAGGTTTATGACCGCTTTTAACACCATTTTATGGCTATGTGCTTATCATATTCATAAACATTTACAAGAGAGACTCTAAATTTTTTTGTTGAAGTGACACCATTTTTATGTTCATATAGGTAGAGTTTCTATTATGTCTTCATTGCTTTAGACATTTAAAACTCTATTAAGAGTATAAAAACTCATCATTTTTTACGCAATGGATCACACTAATTTTTAAAATTTGAATGAATTTTACTAGTGTTTAAAAGATA